TTGCAAAAATGGACTAAACTCCTGATGGGTAGAATAGCCGCAATAAGAATGAATATACTACCAAATCTAGTTTTCCTCTTTTAGGCAATCCTAATATTATTAAAATAAGACTTTTTAAAGTACTGAATAAGATAGTGACTACTTTTGTTTTCCTCTTTTAGACAATCCCAATATTATTAAAATAAGACTTTTAAAAGAACTGAATAAGATAATGACTACTTTGACTACTTTTGTTATGGGTTGCTCCATTAGAAGCGTTCTCTGACCCGGAAAGAACATCTCAAGGGACAAATGGGAGATATGCCAAGATATTAGATAGTGTTTTTAATCTAAAGAACAAGGATGAACTGGCAGAACAAGGTATTATCTTAGACTAGTGGTCGATAAACTTGTTGAAATTAAGAGATTTAAAAGACAAAGCTACAGGGTTTCAGAAAGACGAAGAACTGAATAAGATAATGACCAAATTTGTTTGGGATGGGAAAAAAAACAAGAATAAAGCTTAAGGCTCTTCAGGATAATAAACAAAAGGGGTGGGGGTTGGCCTACCAGACTGGATGAATTATTACAGAGCAGCAGCTCTGAAATGGTAAACTTTCAGAGTTACCGTTCCCTTCTCTGAAACGAAGGGAACGGTAAACTTGGGACACCCTGAAAAGGGTCACTATAACTGATTTGTTTTGTTGACCCTTTACCCCACCATAACTACACCCACAACAATACACACTAATCACCCATCTACAGAAAAAGACAAAAGTCTATCTCACAGCCATAAATACTGCACTCCCAAAGCCAACTACACCAGAGCACAGAGTGCTGTCCTCTGAAGACGCCGGCCACAGAGACTGGTGAAACGTTAGGAAGAACAACCTTCAGAACACGGCCAAAGAGCCTGAAAAACCCACAACAACCACAACTGATTTGATTAATACCTTGATGGCACATGATGATGATGATGATGACGACGACGACGACGACGACGACGACGACGACAACAACAACAACAACAACAACAACAACAACAACAACAACAACAACAACGAAAGTGGTATGAGGGTAGTTTTGCCATGTTTTGTGGGCTCCTCAGTGCCCCCGGAGTCCTTTATCCCCAAACTGTTTTTTTGAATTTTGTGAAAATATATCTTACGATGGCATCAGGGAATTTTCTTCATTTAAAAAAAAGCTATTGTTGTGTAAGAAAAACTTGGGTTGGGGTATCCCTGCAGCAAATTTGATGTTTGGACATCTGTGGCCCATATCCCTTTGGCGTTTGCCAAGCTTGATGTAGACTCTTGCAGGAAACCGTTTGCCTTGTGATTCCTTTGGTTGTACTTATTTGTTTATTTGCCTCAGTTTTCTCCAAAAAGGAAAATAGTGCTCAACCTGAGGGGGTGAAGAACAGGTGATGTAGTGGGGGAAATGCAGCACAGAACAGGTAGAGAGGTAGTAGAGGAATACCTGGCCGCTCTAAATGAATTCAAGTCTCCAGGGACAGACGAATTGCATCCAAGGATATTAAAAGAACTGGCAGAAGTAATTTCAGAACTGTTGGCAATAACATTGGAGAATTTTTGGAGAACTCCCCACAGACTGGAGGAGGGCAAATGTTGTCCCTATCTTCAAAAAGGGGAAAAAAGAAGACCCAAATAATTATCGCCCAGTCAGCTTGACATAAATTCTAGAGCAGATCATTAAACAGACAATGTATTCACGAAGGCTTTCACGACTGGGATCTAATGGTTGTTGTGGGTTTTTCGGGCTTCTTCGCCGTGTTCTGAAGGTGGTTCTTCCTAACGTTTCGCCAGTCTCTGTGGCCGGCATCTTCAGAGGACAGCAAACTGTGCTCTAGTGTAGAAAAACCCACAACAGCCATTAAACAGACAGTTTGTTATTACTTAAAAAACAATGCTGTCATCACTAAAAGTCAACACGGGTTTTTCAAAAACAAGTCATGCCAGACTAATCTGAGCTCCTTTTTTTGATGCAGTTACAGGCTTGAAAGATGAAGGGAACACTGTGGATGTCGCATATCTTGATTTCAGTAAGGCCTTTGACAAAGTTCCCCATGATATTTTTGCAAGGAAGCGAATAACATGTGGGCTAGACAGTGCTAATGTTCGGTGGATTTGTAATTAGTTGACTGACCGAACACAAAGGGTGCTCAAAATGGCTTCTCTTCATCCTGGAAAGAGTTAACTAGTGGGGTGCCTCAGGATTCTATCCTGGGCCCTGTGTCAAGAATTTTGATTATAACATGTATTCTCATAACATTAGCAGAGTAAAGAGATACTGGTTAGCAGAGATACTATGACGCTATGACTCTGAGAGAGTAAAACATCAACTTAGTCTATTTACATATATACATAGAGAATAGACATTCATCTGGCAGCATGACATGATACAACACACAACATAGGAAAAAGTGATCCGACTTAACAGCAGATAAAGACGTTCATTTCACACATGACTTATGTACAGTTCTGTGACCAATCAGAAAACACATTGCTTCATTTTCTGTTACACAAAGTTTCATCATGTACACAGCTGTACAGCATTTAGTCTGAAACCTTGATCCACACCTGAATACAACCAGTACAATGACTCAGGTAAAAGCAGCCATTTTACATTTAACTGTACAACATGCTATTCAACATCTTTATCAATGACTTGGACAGAGTATGCTGGTTAAATTTTCAGATGATATCAAATTAGGAGGGGTTGCTAATTCCCCAGAGAACAGGATTAAAATTCAAAATGACCTTGACAGATTAGAGTCCTGGGCCAAATCTAACAAAACGAATTTCAACAGGGAGAAATGTAAGGTCCTACACCTAGGCAGAAAAAATGAACTGCACAGATATACCGTGGAAGACACCTGGCTAGACACCTGTGAAAGGGATCTAGGAGTCTTGGTAGACCACAAGTTGAATATGAGTTAGCAGTGTGATGCAGCTGCCAAGAAAGCCAATGCAATTCTTGGTTGCATCAATAGGAGTATAATGTCTAGATCAAGGGAAGTGATAATGCCACTCTAGTCTGCTTTGGTCAGACCTCACCTGGAGTATTGTGTCCAGTTCTGGGCACCTCAGTTCAAGAAGGATGTTGACAACCTGGAACACATCCAGAGGAGGGCGACCAAAATGGTCAAAGGTCTGGAAGCCATGTCCTATGAGGAGTGGCTTAAGGAGCTGGAAATGTTTAGCCTTACAAAAAGAAGGTTAAGAAGGGACATGATAACCATGTTTAAATATTGGAAGGGATGTCATGTCGGGAAAGGGACAGGTTTGTCTTCTACTGTTCCAGACACTAGGACAAGGAGCAATGTTTTCAAACTACAGGAAAAGAGATTCCACCTGAATTTCGGGAAGAACTTCCTGACCGTCGGAGCTGGTCAGCCATGGAAGAGGCTGCCTCGGAGTGTGGTGGAGTCTCCTTCTTTGGAGGTTTTTAAGTAGAGTCTAGATAGCCATCTGTTGGGAATGCTTTGGTAGAGTTCCTGCATGGCAGGGGAGTTGGACTCGATGGCCCCTGTGGGGGCTCTTCCAACTCTGTGATTCTATGATCTATAACAGTGGTCCCCAACCTTAGGCCTCCAGATGTTCTTGGACTTCAACTCCCAGAAATCCTGGTCAGAAGAGCTGGTGGTGAAGGCTTCTGGGAGTTGTAGTCCAAGAACAAGGTTGGGGACCACTGATCTATAACATTACATAAGAACTGGAACGAATAAGCCATCAGTGAAAGTGAGTAAAGTGACCCATGAATAATATCGGAAAATAGGCCAATTGTGGGAAGGCATATCATTCCTCATGGAGAGGGTAAAGGTGTGACACTAGAAGAGAGTGGGTGCAGTGGTCCAGTCTGGTGCAATACCCCCAGGGTTTTCCCCTTAAATTCCTGATAATGCAACAACATGTGTTAAG